CTTTTAATACTGAGCTATAAAAATACTCTGTCAGTCTTTGTTGTCTGAAAAGGTCTATTTTGCTCAATACTTTTGCATGAGAGTTAAACTGTGCTACATTTCCAATTATTTCACCCAATGTGGAAACTATTTCTAAATTGTTTCGAGGCTTCTATTACTAGTGTGATAATCTCCCACCAGCTTCATTTTTATGACTTTACAAATTTGGGGTGTTCCCTTTGTTGTTGTAAAACTTTGCCGTTGTTTCTCAGTGTCCTGTAGTTTCACTACAGTAGGTCTGGGGGAAGGTTTGCTTATGTTTTCTTGTTTGAAACTCTGTGTACTTACACTAGAGGCATTTCAGTTCTTTAAAACACTAATTCATTGACTCTTTAAATACTGCTTATCTCACTTCCAGAATTCTTTTAAAAACTACGCCACTCTGTGTTACAACACAATGTCACAGTCTGGCCTCCAATCTCATCTCCCACGGTGCCCTTCAGCCGAGATGGTCTTTAAATGGCACTCAGGTTCTCCCTGTGGCAGAAGCCTCTCTCAGGCTCTTTCCTGAGCAGACGGCGTGAACACTTGTCTTCTAGTTCTTTCCAACTTGTCCTTCAAGAGTCCTTTATCCGGTTTCTGGCAGGGATCTCTCCTCTCACTCTTGTATTCTTTAGAGCAGGTGGGACAGTTGTACTTTTATGACTTGTTTGAGGATCTAGTTGAAGTCAGGCCTTTGGACTGGATTCCCCGATCCATAAATCCGTGACAGTGTTTCCAGTTGTCATTTTGTCTGTTTGTTTGTTGAAATTTTCTTGCCATTTGATAGGCACCTGGGGAACAGCCCTGTAGAGACTGAAACAGCCAAGAGCTAGAAAACTCTCCGGGACCTATGCAGCACTGAGTCATCTCTGAAAATCAGTTCACGTCCCTCCCAGTGGACCCATTTTCCCCCCTTTGCTACAGAATGCAATGGGATAAAAACTGGCTGGATAACCTCTCCAGGCAGAATGGAGTCACGTCTGTACCCACGTCTCGCCTTCTTTTGATATTTCCTACTTGCATTTTGACAATATCTGACTTAGAATTAGAAATATTCCACCGTTTCATTCCCAATGGGTGGTCATTTATGAATAAATCCTTTTGTTTCCTATTTTTTCTCCTAGAATAACTAAGCAAATTTTAAAAACACAGCACCTGTAAAAATGAAATAAGAAAGAAAATGCTCACACTTGACCCGCCAGAGCATTTACTTGACAAGTATCTGCTGATCCCCATTCAGTACCAGTGGCTGGATTAGGCCTTCAGAATACGACAGAGAAAATAAACAGGGGCCCTGGGAAACATTACTCTGATTCTCCACCTCAATAAACATTTCATTTTAAATGATGTGAGTGCTTTGAATGTCAGATACAAGGTTCCTTGTGAACATCTAGAACATTAATTGGACCTATAATTGCAGTAGGACGTGGAAAGCTTACGTCCTGAGTAGCTCCTGAGCTAAGAATTTAAGGACATGTGAGAGTTAATTACACAAAGAGGAGAGGTCAGAACATTTTAAGAAAAAAAAAATTAGTATATTCAAACATCCTGTGCCAGGAAGCAGACTGGCGACTATAAGGGTCTAAAAAGAGGAACAGGGAGATAAGGAACAAACCAAAAAGGAGAAACTCATTAGAATTGAGGATGAGAATTATTTAGGGGTGAGAGGTAGTCACGTGCTGGAACCCCCACACCCTGGCTAAGAAGGGCCAATCCTTAATTACATTTTCGGAAATTTTGTGAGCTAGTAGTTAAGCATGATCATTATTAAGAACAAAACTAAACTTACAATTTAAAAAATTGCATTAAAGACACAGATTTTCAAATTCTTCCTAGTTATTCTTAATTATTTTAGCGCAGTTTATTCTGCCCTCTTGAGTTCACTGATGTCTAGCATATCACTGTAGTGGAACGACCCTATTGTGTGTTACTATGTATTTATTTTCAATCCCATATTCAGTGATGCTTCATTGCTAACTTGAAATGAACCACAGTGTGATTTTACACCCTGGGAATTGAAACTCTTCAAATCCAGACTCCCTTACACTGCCAAGAGCCCATAGCAGCACACTGCTGAGTGAGACCTTGAAGTCCTTGCTAAGTATTGATCTTGATCACTGGAGAAATGATAGATACTGAGAGGACTTAAGCAGGGAGTTGAAACGAGCACATACCTGTTTAAAAATAAATCACTGAGACTACAGAAACAGGAAACGAGGTGACTTCAGGGGATCCACATGGTGAATAATGGAGGCTCAGGAGAGGATCACAGAAGTGAAAATGTAGGAAAGTGAATGGATTTTAGATTTCTTTAGGAGCTGAAACAAGGGCTTATTCTCCAGGAGCCCTACCCAGAAGGTGAGTGAAAGGGTGATGTCAAGGATTATTTCCAGATGTCTCACTATTCAAATGGGAAGTTTGTATTGGCATTTGCTAAAATAAAAACATTAGAAGAAATTTGTTTTATGTTTTGCATTGGGGGAAAGTGTTGAAAATGTGGAATTCATAGGCCCTTGAGATACCTGATGACTGAGTCCTGGTGCCATTAACCTGCCTGGTGGAATCAGTTGCTTGAGAGCCTTCTAAGGAAAAACTAGAGTCCCTGAATCCTCCCCAACTTCTGGATGTTTACGGTGTCTTCATTTGGAGCCCAATCCTGCCACCATGAGCCAATAAGCCAACTTGACAATTGAATAAACGTTCAGCCTAAGTAAGAAACAAGACAAAATCTCCATGTGGAATAAATGGAATGGAAATGTGTGAAATAAAGGGACTGTCTCCTCATATAAACAAACGATTGTTAAAGTAACCCAAAGCTTTTCCATTTTCATGTATGCAAAATCACGTATGTGCGGTGTCTGTGAGAATGACCTGCTAGATCTCTGCCTGCAGGGAGCAGAAATAACTGAGGACCCTGCTGCTGTGCTCTGAAATCTGACCTTTGAGCAGAGGCCATGTTGCCCACAGGCTGCCCCCAGTCAGTGGCTGAACAGGGAAGAGATACTCAGGCAACCCCTGATGGGAAATACCAGACTCCCCAGTCTCACTGCCAAACTTTCCTTAGAAATGAATTGTTTGGGCAGTGCCTGTGGCTCAAGGAGTGGGGTGCCAGCCCCATATACTGGAGGTGGCAGGTTCAAACCTGGCTCTGGCCAAAAACTGAAGAAAAAAAAAAAAAGAAATGCATTGTTTAAAACTGTGGTCCCCAGCAATTAGGCCTGGACTGGTACCAGTCTGTGGCCTGTTAAAAACTGGGCTACACAACAGGAGGTGAGTGGTGGGCATGGACATGTAGCTTCATCTGTATTTATAGCCGTTCTCCACTGCTCACTCCCTGCCCAGCTCCGTCTCCCGTCAGATCAGCTGTGGCATTAGATTCTCAGAGGACCATGAACCCTCCTGTAAACTGTTGCACACTCCTAATGAGAATCTAATGCCTGATGATCTTAGGTAAATGTAGTGTGCTTGAATCTTCCTGAAAACCATTTCCCCTACCTTTGTCCATGGAAAAATTGTCTTCTATGAAACTGGTCCCTGGTGCCGAGAAGGTTGAGGACTGCTGATCCTGCTGGCCTAAGATGCTTCCATCCAATTTCCCATCTTTACAACCTCTCTCCTTAACTTGGGTTTAGACGTGCATCATGGTCTGATTTCTCAGCCAGCATTATGTGATTCCCTGTCTGGTGCCTGTAGTGAGCTCTGAATGGTCATGATTTCCTGACACTCCCCCAGTGACAGAGACATCTTCTTTTTGTTAGCATAGCATCCTGAGCCCATGGTAAGTTTTGTCCTGTCTCTCAAGGTCACAGACCTTGGGCTTCTATGCTTTCCCAGAAGCAAAGGCTATTTACCTGTGTCTTAGAAGCTGGAGGGTTTCTTTCTCCAACACCAGTGCTCAAGGCACCTGTTTTTTGTTGTTGACATAAGGTCTCACTTTGTCACCCTGGGTAAAGTGCAGTGGTGTTATCATAGCTCACTACAACCTCAAACTCCTGGACTCAAGCAATCTCCCTGCCTCTGCCTCTCCAGCAGCAGGGGCTGTAGGCACTGGTCAGGATGCCTAGTCAATTTTTCTTTATTACTAGAGGTAGGGTCTTGCTCTTGTTTAGACTGATCTTGAACTCCTGAGTCAAGCGATCCTCTGACCTTGACCTCTCAGAGTGACAGGATTATAGGAATGAGCCATTTTGTAGAAGAAGACTTCAAGAAATGGATCTGTTTTAGGGATCTGTTTTGTATCTATGTGTCCATGAGGGGCTCTTTCCAGTCTCTTTCCTTCCTCAAGGCTCCACCTGAGAGGTCAAAGGAAAGGAGACGGTGAACACAGACAGCATCGTGACTGGGCTCCCAGGATTCCGGACTGTCACGACAGCACATGTTCAGCCTTTCACTGGAAATCAGAGTTTTAACTGTTTACTCTCTCCGATGTCTGCTGCCTCTTCTTCTTGTGATTTTTCCTCCCAAGATTAGACAATTATTATAACGTATCTAAGAGGCTGCGAAACTCTTCATAGTTTATTCATTCAGTTGCCTTGTGATCTCAGACTCTGATAGTCTCAAGAAAAGTTGTGAATCTTGCAGGTTAATCTGGCTTTTTCTCATCTTCAGCATGGAAGAAGTGTCGGCCTGTGGTGTCCACACACTAAGAGGAGAGGATGTTCCCTCCACCTTATTTAAAGAAAAATCAGTTATATTCCTGCATCAGAGTTCATCCTTCATGGGTAGAGCAAATTTGGGGATAGAATGTATACAAAAATAGTATATTATATTCTAGGCATGTGAAATTATATTATCGAACAGTTGGCAGTGTGTGTCATGGTAACTACTCTCTAAATTTACTGACAAAACATTACATAGCAGTGGAAAGCACAGCTCAGTATTGAAGCTTGCATTCTAGATTAAAGCTAGAGAAAAAAATCGTTTCTAGTATGTTCTGCTTTGGGTCATTCTTCAACACAATTACTTGTCCTTTCCACCAGGTGGTTGACCAGATTGACACGCTGACCTCTGACCTGCAGCTGGAGGATGAGATGACCGACAGCTCCAAAACGGACACGCTGAACAGTAGCTCCAGTGGGACGACAGCCTCCAGCCTGGAGAAGATCAAAGTGCAGGCCAATGCGCCGCTTATTAAACCCCCAGCCCACCCGTCCGCCATCCTCACGGTCCTGAGAAAGCCAAATCCTCCACCGCCTCCTCCACGGTTGACACCCGTGAAGTGTGAAGACCCGCAAAGGATAGTGCCAACCGTTAATCCCGTAAAGACCAATGGCACCCTGCTGCGAAACGGAAGCTTACCCGGTGGACCTAACAAAATTCCCAATGGAGATATCTGCTGCATCCCCAACAGTAACTTGGACAAGACTCCAGTGCAGCCTCTAATGCACAGACCTGAAAAAGACAGGTGTCCCCAGCCGGGGCCTCGAGAACGGGTTCGGTTTAATGAAAAAGTACAGTACCACGGCTACTGTCCGGACTGTGATACCCGGTATAACATAAAACCCAGGGAGGTCCACTCGCACAGTGAGCCCACCCACCCGCCAGGAAAGAGTCCTCACCAAGGCCCTCCTCTCCCTCCTCCTCCCCACCTCCCTGCTTTCCCACTAGAAAACGGGGGCCTGGGAATAAGCCACAGTACCAGCTTCCCCCCTCTCAGACCCGCAACTGTGCCTCCTCCCACTGCGCCCAAACCACAGAAGACGATCTTGAGGAAATCAACCACTACGACAGTGTGATGTATGCCATTTAAAAATAACTTTTCGGTTCTTTTTAAAATTTTCTATATCATAAGCATAAAATCATAAGTAATGAGCACTTTCTACTCAAGCAATAAAATCCCCAAACATATTAATCCTGCATTCAGCAAAGTGGCATAAAAATCACCTGGTAAGTATGCAGCCGGTGTGCTGCTAATAGACTGGGTAGGCGTTATTTTAAATGTTGTATCATCATAAACCCCGGAGTGCTGAAAAATACGAATGCATTGATTTCACAATTGACCTGTGACAGACTGTGACCTGCAGATTTCAAATAGTTTGATTTACTAGAAGGGGCGGGATCTGATTCATTTTATTCACGACTAATTCATCTATGCATTGATAACACGTCATACTCTTTGATCTAATACTTTTTACTAAGCAATTTTAATACCGAAGGACTATTTTATTATTTTTTTCTAAAGATGTTTGTCACTAGTTTTTCATTATGGAATGCCGAGGACAATACCAAAAAGTTTATTTTCTATACTATACAATTATGAATTATATGTTCAGCTACATGTGTAATAAAAATATTTTCATCTTTGGAAATATCATTATGTCAATAAACGGTAGTAAATAATGGCGAAACCAAACGTTCCCCAGAATTAAAGAAGTGGTTCATTTTACCCGTATTCATATTCATCAAAATGAGTGGCACAGCTGAAAAATTTTAGGGAGGATTCTAGTGAGTTTCTATCAGCCTTTTCTAAATTAAATGTCATATTCCATGCCATAAACAGACGTTTACACATTGCATATTGTACATCTCCGTTTGGTACTTCAAGAACCCCTCCCCCTGTGTGTGAGGCCAGGTTCTTTAGACCCTTCTCATGCTCAGCATTCTTCCACAACAGACTAAAGTTGCGGCGGTGTTCTGCTTTTTCCTCCTGCATCAGTTGGGTTTTCTACTTCCCTGAGAGAACACACATTTATAGGAGGATCAGAGGGGGAAATAACAGACGCTTCTGGTAACCCGTGTGTTCAGCATTGGCTCAAAGCTTTATCCTCTCAGAGTTGAAAGATGTCATGGTTCTTTGCTGTTCCATAGATGGAAGAGAAGGAATCTTTTCCTTCTAACATTAAAAAAAAAAAAAAAGTCGTTTTTAGTCTCATTTGCCAACTTAGAAAACTGACCTACTTAGGAGTCAAGTTCAATTCCCAACTGCATTGATTTGAACTGACGAAATGTTTTGCCCTGGACCTAGAAATGAGTTTTCTGCTCTGGAGTCATGATGAAGGCGGGTTTCTACACAAAATCGGTCCACTAAGTGGTAAGAATAGAGATAGTCACCTTTGGCGGCAATGTGTTTACTGTGCGACTTGCTAAACTTTGTCTCTTGAGAGCTAAACTTTTTTCATTTGCTGCTGCAGGGAGGTAGTCTTCAATTATATGATCATATTGCTTTGTTGCCTTTTTCGGCCTATATCATGCTTTTATAAAGTGCTGCTTTTGAACATCTTCCTGTTAAAAAATGAGAATGTATTTTAGACAGAATGCAAAAAATATAATTAGCTTTATTTTTGAAACAATGATCAAATGAGTGAAAAACAGAAAGTGTCTTGTTAAACAATTACTCAGAGTGCTCTTTCTTCTGTATGTGTTGGACATGAAAATAATGCAAACAATATAATCCAAGTTTTCAGAAAGTTGCAACTCATAAGGACAATGATCAAGAAAGGCCGTAATCTGAAATTTATTAACTGTGTTATCAGTGTGTTTAATAGATATGAGCCAGGTAAATAAATAATTGACTTGGTGAGTACCAAAATTATGTGTTCCTAACTTTTTAATGCATTCATAGTTTTGATATAAATAAATCCAGGGTTTCATCATCTTTCTAGATTGTAAATAATTGCATCCTTTCCTATGTCCATCAAGTATTAGACTGTTCAAGATTATAAACTATTGTGAAAGACCCACAGTTTTCTCCCTTCTGCCCATCTTCTTTCTTCAGCCAGTCACTGTGGCCTAATAATAACCATACAGTTTGAGACCTTGATCTTTGTTAGTCTGCAAACCAAGCTGGACCTCAAAATAGAGCTTTCTAATAATCACAAGTCATCCCCAAGCAGATAACTTGCAATAAAGCACTTTGAATAAATTGAATCATTCAAGCTGTTGGACCTTAAGCCAGATGCCCAGAAATAACCTTGGAGGTTCAAGTCCACCTCTATTCCTCAAAGTATGGACAAAGCTTCCCCATGAATGACCCTATTTTTCTCTGTGATTATTGACATATGTCAGAGCTATACTTGTTTTTATTCAACACATCGAGAGTTAACTATTGGCCTAGAAAACTGAGTTTAATCCCGGCCCACAAATGTTACAGTTATTGATGTTTCTTTCTTATTACAGTTTATTTATGATCAACATTAAATATTAGATTAAAACAATATTTGGAATATCTTTTGAGTTTATTCATTCTGTTATTTTATTTTGTCATTAAAATTTGAACTACTTTATATTAATACATTTTCTTGCCCAACTGATAATTTTAAAACATTCACGGGAACTTAGTTATTTCTTTACAAATATATATATATGAACTTGTAAACATAGATGGCAATGAAGAGGGTATCATGTTATCTGCATAGAAACTTGGACTAAGTGGTAGCATCGTTTCTGAATCAGCCAACATTGCTTTGAAAATTTAAATTTTGAAATGCAAATGCTACTTGTCATCATTACATTACAATAAGACCACTTACATGTTTCTTTTTCCTGAATATTTTTTAAAGAATTGCTCTTCTCAAATTCTTTTTTTCTTATTTCAAATGAAGATGAGGGTAAAAATTTTTATCTCACATCGTTTTCAGTTTTCAGGTAAAGCCGACATTGTAGGTAAGCCCTTCACCCTGGGGTGCTCAGCACACCCTTACGCTGTATACATTAGGTGAGTTTTTATTTTTTAATTAGGTGAGATCTTCAAAGAAACTGCTTTTCAGAAACAACATAGATTTGAACATTTTTATTTATACATAGCTTGTGCCACAGAGTCAGTGTTCAAACTTCTTGAAGGTGGTATTCCCACAAAATGCAAACCAGTGATAGACTAATAATAATTATGACAATAATAGTGTAAACATAGAACATATTTCAAAAAATGAGACTCATTAATTAAAAGAGAATAGAAAAGATTTTTGTCTGTTTACTGTAAACACAAATTATCCCGTTTCTAGAAGTCATTTTATGTCTACTAATGAGAGACACAAAGAAAATAAAAATTGACCTCTATTTTGTCCCACCTTGCAATAGTTACAGCAGTTATAAAAAGAAAGAAAACTGATACTTTTTAGGTCATACTTCAGCTAAATGTAAAAATATCTTAACAAAAACACAAGACCAGGCCGAGGGAGAAATTTTCCACTCTTCCAATTTGATATTATTATATTCATATCTCCCCTTATTAGTTTATTAATAATGAAAAAGTGAATGTACTATTTGCAAAAGTGGTTTAATTAACCCCCAAATCTTGTGTTTGAATCATAACTGCATCCTCGTTTTCAAATGAATAAAAGAATAAGACACCATATTATGTGCCTTTTTCTGAACAGATTAGTTAAGTACTTTTAGCACGACTAGAGCAGCAGCTACACACAGTCTGTAAAATTGTACAAAACCTTTTATCTTTAGGCTCTAATTATAGCTCCCGTTGGGTGCTACATGAAGAAAATTCTGAGAAGTTCTGCATATAATTGCACAAGGAATGGTGTAATCAAGTGATGAATCACTGCCTGGACTGAGTTTTTTTTTTTCTTGTGGAATACATGTGACAATGTGATGCCAACTCTTCTAATTTTCTTAAAGATTTTGCTTTTCCAAATTCTCTGTTGAGGCACATTTTACTATAATTTACACTCCAAATTATCGTGAAAGATAATGTACAATGTGCTTGCAATGTACTTTGATGAAATATCTATGATTGATGAGAGAGGTAATAATTTCTATTGCTCTGTTTATTAAAAGCTATGTCAGAAAATTAGGTAAATTGTACAGAATCTGACGGTGACTGGACATGATCACAAATCACATGACATTGTTGAGGTCAATGTGTGACTGTGACCCTGTAATTAAGGTTTTAGTGTAAACATTTTGGAGTTTCAAAATTTTTCAAGTCACATGATCCTGAAATAATGAAACATGAGATGCTATGACTAGGGCACACAGCAGTGTTGAACGTCAGATTGCAGTTAGCTGCGTCTTAGTGACACAGCAATTATGTATGGTGTCATTTCATTTGAGACACTTAGGTTTATCATTCTAGTCTTTTGAGAGGAAACTAAAGGGGAATGTAAAGAACAAAGGCATCTTTACATAAAGGACATGGGATCGTAAAGAAACACTCTCTTTAAAATACAGTTAGACAGGTATAGAATTGCATGAAGACCAATGAAAAATAATGAGGAAATATTGCTTATAATTTACAACTTCTAGATTCATCAAGTAGAGATAGACTAATATAGTAACTTTTCTCTGACGCTGTACATATTTGCAATGCTAACGTGTAAAATAGATATTATTGTCCTCATTTACCAGCAGAGAAATCCAAGACCTCATTTTTAGTATTTTGCCAAAATGAGCCCGTTAGTAAGTATCATGCTGGCATTTTAGTGCCAGTATGAATCACCATAGTTTTTCCCTACAACGCAGCATTAAATGATGTACTTCATAGCCCTGAACTTTACAAATCTTTTCCTTTATTCTGAACAGTTATTTTGACGCCTGAAAGGGGTTACCTAATGTTGTTTTGACATTCTTAATGTGTTTGATCTTTGCAGACTATGAAAGGAATTTCAGGCAATTTAGCTACCGTCTAAAATGAATGAGCTGCTGAATAATGCAAGCCTCATTTTCTCAAGTATTATCCAGCGGCTTCATCTTTCAGGTTTTTTTTCCCTTCTTCGTTCAAAGACTGTTATTTGGATCTTTATTCAAAGAAGTTCTGGTTCCATAGAATCATGCCATTAACCCTGAAAGTGTCATGAATATGTATCATTCACTAATATTTCATTTATGAATTACATCTCTTTAACATTGACCCCGTGGAACCTCCGTGGAACCTCCAAAAAAATGCCACTGCATTCAAACTCTCTAATAAGAGTGTTTGCATTCTTTTGTTATTAGACTATAGATATGATTTTCCACTATATGATGATGGAACTGTCAATTTTCCTAACCACCAAAGGGAATTTGGCTAAATAAAACATTGTGTTCCTGGGGGAGGTAAGGGGTCATAGTAGCAAGACCTGATGTCCAACCCTTCTCAAGAGCATATGCCCAGTACTCTTCTCTGTGATTTGCACATAACATTTGTCTTCACATTATTTTTCCTTCATAACAATTTGATGTCCTATACTATATTGTTACTCATATTTTTAAATATGACAAACTTATGGGACTAGAAACTGGCTGCCCAAGACCTTAGAGCCAGTAAGTGGTCACACTGGAAATAAGGGAGGCAAGTCTGGCTCCATGACGGGTACTCTTCACCACCTTTCAGAACTGCCTTAATGCATGGATTTTGTGTTCTATACAGGTAATCGGTAGAGAACCTGGAACTTTTCATAGAGTGTTGGAAAATATAAAA